GCCGACCTAGCGGCAATGCGGACAGCCAACGAAGCAGATCTCGCAGCGTTACGCGAAGAAAACGAGCGCATTCGCGCCCAACTTCCTCGACGCCCCTCTGATCGGCCTCCTCACAAGAGCAACATGCATGAGGACGAGGCACACTCGGCCTCTCAATCCCGGACGGCGACTAGGGCACCAACCTCACGGCCCGCCACGCAACGATCTCATGCATCAACGCACAAGTCGGGCGCAGACGCCAGCAGAGCACCCACTCTTGCCACGGAAGGCCACGAAACCTTCCGCCGACATCCTATTGTGGACAGCATCATGGAAACCCCACTCCCCCGCGGATGGAAGCCTCTCCATCTCGACCACTATGACGGCACGACGGACCCTAATGAGCACATTGACCTGTACACAACCCAGGTAAACCTCTACACTAACAGTGATGTTATCCTGTGTAGGGTTTTTCTGACCTCGCTCAAGGGAGCCGCACTCCACTGGTACACCCAGCTACCCGCCGAATCCATCAACAACTTCAGCACCCTAATCCGGAGGTTCACGGCACAATACGCCACCAGCCGACCTCACCACACAACCTCCACTGCTTTGGCCACACTCAGGCAGAATGATGACGAACCTCTGCGAACCTTCATGGAGCGTTTCTCCAGCATCTCGGTGAGGATCCGGAACTTAAACCCCGAGGTCGCCCTGCACTCCATGCTCATGGCCCTCAAAGTTGGCCCCTTTGTCGACAGTCTCTGCCGAGACCCCCGCCCCCGCGACATGGACGAGCTCCGCGCCCGCGCGACCCCCGCGACATGGACGAGCCCCGCGCCCGCGCGACCGGATGCATCCAGATGGAGGAGCACTCCGCCTTCCGTGACCAGGTTCGCGGGAAAGCTCCAGCAAAGTCGGAACAAGGGCATAAGGATAAAATCAAATTCAACAACGACAGTCAATTCAAGAAGTCGACTAGGGCAAACAGAGGGGGGAGATACGACTTCTACACTCCCCTGAACGTGCCTAGGGTACACATCCTAGAGGAAGCCAGCAACAACAATCTGCTCGCCCTCCCATCGCCGGGTCACACTCCCAACAGCGCCGACAAGTCTAAGCACTTCCGGTACCACAGGAACCATGGTCACACCACAGAAGAATGTCGCACACTCCGGGATCGCATCAAGGAGCTCATTCAAGCGGGCCACCTCGGCCAATACATGCAGCGACAATAGGGTAATAGAGGTGGCTATGGAGGTCGAGGACGCGGCAGAGGTCGAGGTTCAGGAGCTCGCACTGAGTCACACCCGAGCTCCCAGCAAAATGCTGGCGCAGTACAAGCCAAAATAAGCCAGGAGATAGAGTCGGCCCCCTTACGGGGAGTAATCAACACAATAACAGGTGGCTTTTCTGGAGGAGGCGCCAGCAGCTCGGCCCGAAGAAGACACCTGCGGAGCATCAACTGCGTCCACTCTACCACCCCAGCCCTCCACCAAAGCTCACCGCCGATCTCCTTCTCCGACGAAGACTACGCCGGCGTCAGCCCTAACCAAGATGACCCCATGGTCATCGTTGTGGAAATAGCCAACTGGACAGTGCAGAAAACACTCATTGACCAAGGAAGCTCAGCCGACGTCCTGTACTGGCCTACGTTCCTCAAGCTAGATGTTCCCCACTCTCTCATTCAACCTCACATGGAGCCCCTCGTCGGCTTCGCAGGAGAGCGAGTCCACACTCGGGGGTACGTAGACTTACTGACGACTTTCAGAACGCCACCGGATACAAGGCGGGTCATGGTCCGGTACCTCCTCGTGGAAGCCAACACTTCCTACAACATCATCATCGGGAGGCCAACCTTGAATCAACTCGGGGCAGTAGTGTCGACCCCACACCTCACCATGAAATTCCCAGGCAAGGACGGTAAAATCATCTCCGTCAGAGGTAATCAGAAAACAGCCCGACAATGCTACGCCGAAAGCCTGAAGATCTCCTCGTCGAGCAAGCAAAGCGAGGGGAATCCCCCCACCATCGCTCCTTAAGTTTTCAAGTCTTCTTTTTCTTTCAGTATGAACAAATTTGTGCACTCTTTTCCCGCCTCAACCTTTGACTGAGAGAGTTTTTAACGAGGCACACAGACACCATCAATAAATTACTCCTTCCGTTCATCTCACATTCTTATTTTCCTGTTTATCGAAAGGACGAAAACGAACTCTAAACGCGCAAATGCCTAAACCTGAGGTCGAATACGAACCTCGACGCTCTCGTTAAAGGTCGAGTTCGAACCTTAATTAAATAAACTATCTCAAATTCGAGGTCGAATACGAACCTTGACACTCTCGTTAAAGATCGAGTTCAAACCTTAATTAAATAACCTATCTCAAATTCGAGGTCGAATACGAACCTCGACGCTTTCGTTAAAGGTCGAGTTCGAACCTTAATTAAATAACCTATCTCAAATTTGAGGTCGAGTCTGAACCTCGACATTCCGAGGTCGAATACGAACCTCGACGCTCTCGTTAAAGGTCGAGTTCGAACCTTAATTAAATAACCTATCTCAAATTTGAGGTCGAGTCCGAACCTCGACATTCCGAGGTCGAATACGAACCTCGACGCTCTCGTTAAAGGTCGAGTTCAAACCTTAATTAAATAAGCTATCTCAAATTCGAGGTCGAATATGAACCTCGACGCTCTCGTTAAAGGTCGAGTTCGAACCTTAATTAAATAACCTATCTCAAATTTGAGGTCGAGTCCGAACCTTGACGTTTCGAGGTCGAATACGAACCTCGACGCCCTCGTTAAAGGTCGAGTTCGAACCTTAATTAAATAACCTATCTCAGATTTGAGGTCGAGTCCGAACCTCGACATTCCAAGGTCGAATACGAACCTCGACGCCCTCGTTAAAGGTCGAGTTCGAACCTTAATTAAATAACCTATCTCAAATTTGAGGTCGAGTCCGAACCTCGACATTCCGAGGTCGAATACGAACCTCGACGCCCTCGTTAAAGGTCGAGTTCGAACCTTAATTAAATAACCTATCCCAAATTTGAGGTCGAGTCTGAACCTCGACATTCCGAGGTCGAATACGAACCTCGATACCCTCGTTAAAGGTCGAGTTCGAACCTTAATTAAAATAACCTATTCTAAGGTCGAGTCCGAACCTCGACTTTTCGAGAAGGAATACGAACCTCGACGAATTCGAACCTTGTCACCTATGAACCTCAAGTAAGCAAAATCCGAGGTCAAGGCCGAACCTCGGTGTTCACACCTAAGGTCAAGTCCGAACTTTAACACGCTTGCTTAGATCGAGTTTGAACATTTATTAACTCGTATACCTCAAAATTTGAGGTCGACTACGAACCACATTTCCGAGGCCGAGTTCGAACCTCGGTGAGACACGCACCACTCTAAATCTAAGACCGAGTTCAAACCTTAACCAAACCAATTTGCCTATATCCGAGGTCGAACGCCGCAGCCTTGAGAAGACTGATCGACCAAGTCGAACAGATGCGACAGCAGCATGACATTGACTTGCGCAACATGCATGCCAAGCATGAAGCCGACCTAGCGGCAATGCGGACAGCCAACGAAGCAGATCTCGCAGCGTTACGCGAAGAAAACGAGCGCATTCGCGCCCAACTTCCTCGACGCCCCTCTGATCGGCCTCCTCACAAGAGCAACATGCATGAGGACGAGGCACACTCGGCCTCTCAATCCCGGACGGCGACTAGGGCACCAACCTCACGGCCCGCCACGCAACGATCTCATGCATCAACGCACAAGTCGGGCGCAGACGCCAGCAGAGCACCCACTCTTGCCA